CAAAATCAGGTTTGTTTTTGGGAATTTCCAACCTTAAATAATCTAGTGTATGAGCATCTGTCAAGCGAGAACAGTGTTTATTTTTTTATTTGTTTTAAGTAGGAAAATGCTGACTCACCATATATTGAACCAATCACTCATATATTGAACCAAAACACGCACCAATGCAATTGTTCAACACATTCCTTCAAACTTTGATATTTCTCGTTGGAAACCAATGCTCAGAAATCCAGACCTGAGGATGACTTTGCTTTTAGAAATACGTCGCAGCGCAGAGGAATAATCGTTTTGAAGTACCTATCATGTGGTCCATTTGAAAAGTATCTGCAAATTTTGTAGCCATTTCATAGATATTACTGTGATTAATGGAATTATTAAACGGATAACTGATGAATTCCACCAACTCCTCTTTTTTTTTTGAAATCACTAAAGCATATAAATCAAATGAACTTCGAAGTCTGATACCAATATCTTAATTTCTGCCATGTACTTGTCAGGAATTAAATTGTAGCTAGAATGTTTTTCCATATGATCCTTGATTTTTACAAATCGTTCATTTTTTTCTTTTTGATGTCAACTATCATAGACGCTGTTTGACTTTGAAATGTTGCAATAGAACTCTGTTACTGTTTTATTCTTACCTTTTAGTTCCAGATTTAAAGTGCTCAGTTTTCCAGTACAATCTGCTAAAAAATCTAAATTACATTGCCAGTCTAAATCACGCGATTGCTGATATTTATCACCCCTCTTCAAAAAACATTTATTTTTACGTCCTCTATATATCTAAATCTTTGCAAAAACTTGCTTTGACTCAACCACCTTACGTCATTGTGCAATGCCAAATCTGGTTCCTTCTCATCTAATTGCTGTTTAAAGAGCCGCCTTTGGAGAGATTTACCTTTTATGGAATTTACAATCTTGAAGGAAATATCCATCACATGTTTAGTCTCTTACTAGCCAGTATCTACTTATTGATGAATTATGCAATGCTAGCTAATAAAATCTACATAATCTTCGTCTTTGTGACAAAGAGCAATAAAACCATTATTAATACCTGTCATTGCAGGAGCCATATCAGTTGTTATTGATAGTTGTACAGTATAGTTGTAATTGATAATCTGGCTAATATATGCTTTGAATTCCGTGAATATATCAAGGCCACGAGTTTTTCCTTTTAAGAATATCATACTTAGCAGTTTTTCTTTCGTCGAGAAATCTTCATAGAACATCCGAATAAAAATAAGTAATTGTGCAGTATCAGTGATATCTGTTGACTCGTCAAGTTGTAACGAAAAAGCAACACAGCGGATGATATCTTTTTGTGGCTTTTCGTTCATGGTTTTACTTATCATTTTTATACGGCGCATCACTGTATATCGAGACAGCTGTAAACCATAAATAGCTTTTTTACTTCATTTTTATTTTTAAAATTCACGAACAGCTAATCTGAAACTGCTTCAAAAATTTCGTTGATGTATTCTCCATTGGAAAAAGGTTTGCATTTTTGTGCAATTCTGTAGCTTACTTGGAAAGAAGCTTCAGTTGCAGCTTTACTTTGCTCAATAGGCCGAGAAAACATGTTTTCTTGGACTTTTAATTTGATTTTAATGCTAGCAATTTACTCTTTTATATTTCGCTGTTAAGTTGTAAGTCAGTCTAATATTTATTATGAATTGTATTAAAATGTCGCTCTTAATTTCTTTTTTTCGGTATTGCCGCGAATGTATTGCATATTAGTCAGCAACAGTTTTCTTTCACCATGGTAAAGAAGTAGTCCAGTTCCCATTCTTGGTGAAAGTGATAAGTTTTTGATTTCTTTGCAGCACATTTATCGAGGATCTACAAAAAATAAAATTAAAATATTAGGAACGTAATTCGTATAATAACAAAATCAAATATGTCCTACCACTAAAATGTTTTGTGAATTAATTTCCTAATGATGGCACAAAATTAGCGAGTGATCATTGTTTTTAAGTTTTTACCTGCTTACTAAATATAATTCGCTCGATCCACCGATAGTTTATGTAATACTAGCTACGCTCCGCCGTTTTACCCGCATGGTAAAATTTGGTGTTAGTGATGATGATGTTAAATAGCCTACGTGTCAATCCAATTTATCAGCTACCTCCATACCAAAATTCATCAAAATTGATCTAGCTGTTTGAGCGTGAAAGAGTAACAAACATCCATACATGGGTCAAACACAAAAATGTAATTCATCATTTCCAAAAAATAAAACCACACATATCAGTTTGAAAATCAGCCTTTATTCGTGTAAGTCTTTTATAATTCCTAATATTATCGACGTAGATCAGTCTTACATATTCTCTCGAAAAATAACAATTTTCATTTTTATAAGGCCACAGAAAAGATCTAATTGTCTACAGATATTAACATAAACCTTATTTATGTAATCACATTATTATGATTTATTACAGAACTTAATTTATAATGATTAAAATAAAAACATTTTCGTTACAGACAGAATAATATTTGAAAATTGAAGTATTTTAGAAAATTAAAAAATAATGAAAATCGCCCACAGAACGGACATCTTTCCTGTAGAAATTCTAAAGACTATACCAGGTTGTCTACAGGTGGTAACATATTATACCTTATTAAGTAATCAGAAAGTTATGATATATTTGAAAAACCTAATTTAAAATGTTCATAGTATCATATCATAGTAGGTATTCAATCTCCATAGCAAGCAATGTTCGAGAGTTACAGTATCTCGGAATATAAAATTAAAAAAAAAATGTCTACAGACTGGACATCTTTTCATTAATAAAGAAAAACAATTAAAATATATTGTCATCATCAGAATCGTCCATAATTGGCATTTGGCGTTTCTTTGGCGTCATTTCTACGGAAGATTCAGATTCGTCTAAGAAGATACGACCGTGAGGTGCACTTTTCATAGGTCTATGGCCTTGTAAAGATAAGTTTTCAATTGGATTATCAGGTGTCAATCTTTCAGAAAAACCGGGTGATATTGGTTCAGTTGTAGCATTACTAGTTCCTGTACTTGCTGGTGAGTAAGCTTCAAAAAATGAGTTGATTTTTGGAAGGCCCTGCTTGAGGAGATGCCGGCGACATATTGAAAAAAATGATGATTAGATAAATCGGAATCAGTTGGAGAATTTGGAGAACAATCTGCCCGGTTTCATAATGAGGACATTTATCATGGGCTGCGCAATCCAAGCAGCTTAATCGCCTGGCATGGAGAACATAAGGATTTTGTTTATGCCATGTAATCTGATGTATTTCGAGCGTACCTTTGAAAGGACGTGTAGCGCTCTCCTTCAAAAGTAAATCCATTTCAGGAAACCTTGACTCGTCGATTTCAAAAACCTCTATACCTTTACAATTTACAGATAAGCATGCCATTAAATCATCTAAATTAGATATGTCATTTCCCTTTGCGACATGACCATCGCAAATGCGCTTGATGCACCCTCCAACACCATCGGGTGCACCTTTCCCATGTCCTCGTTCAATATAATGCCAAATAATGGATGTCACAGAAAATCTTTGCTTAATAATGTTGCGATTTAAAAAAACATGGACTTGTTGCGGTATTGAGTTAGACCATCGCTTAATGTTGTAAATGTGTAAAGTTTGCAATTCAGAGCACAGTTCCTTAATTCTTTTTATTATAGCAATTAAGTGGATACATATAGCAGTTGGGTCATGTCGGAGGTTTTCTAATGCGGTACAGAAAGAAGAACTATTTATATAATTGTTAGGGGACTCTAAGTTGGTATTATAATATACGCTTGTATGCAACGAGATTTGATCCACCGAAATGCGCCGACTGGACCTCTTGTCCATACTTACAACTATAATTTTCTGAGAAGTCTATGTGTAATAATCCCTCAACTTTAGACAAATTTTGTTTAACATATTGTATGGATTTAATTTGATGAATCATGTTTGCCACATGTTTTCTTAAAGTAGCTAAATTTAAAATTAATTTTTCAAATAGTTGTTTTTTTGTGGTTTGCACCTTTTCTTTAATAGTTTTTCGACACTGCTTTTTAGTATTTTTGATAACCACAGGAACACTTTTTGTGACCCACCTTTCAAATGATATAATGTCATTAGCGTCAAAAAAGTTTTATTACAATTGCCGCCTTTAATTCTTACGTCGCCTGCAAATTTTAGTAGGAAAATTTCGGTCTAACACGTGCAGCTTGCCAACACCTCATTACCACCAAGCATACAACTGCAAGACTCCAAGATACCATAAGTTCATACTGAGTAGATCGGAACAAAAGTTAAATTTTAATCTATGGTAACCGCGGTTAACTATGACATCTGGACGTTGAACATCTTAGTCCCCCCGTGACCACAGGTGCTGTAAAGCTCTCGAAACGTCGGGTATTTAAAAAGTTAAATATACGCGATAAAATCCGTAAAAACTAGTATTACTTCAATGTATAGTGTTCGCGTAAATATAAGAAATCATTACATAATTATTCAGTTGAAATAGCACAGCCAAAGTAGGACACGTTACATTAATGGAATGAGATGTGACGTATAGGAACGATTAAGCTAAGTTTACAACATTAAAACAAAACACACAAAATCTTTAAACATTATTACTTGCTATCTAGTACCAATATTTAAAGATAGCTTTCTCTCTTATTAAATAAACTAAATAAATAAACTTAAACACGTAATAACTTTTCAGATCTAAGCAAACAATAATCAGTCATCGGTGGGAATTTCTTATTCTTCTAAGCAAATAGGACAAATGTAGTCAAAAAAGGTAGTTCCACTACACGAAAAGCACAGCCAATTCTTGCAAACCATGCATTTAACCATATTTTGAAGAATGAATGGCTGGTGAGTCTTGCAAAAACAACATAAAAAGTCTGAGGTAGATGGTCCTGTATTCGCTGTCTTATTCTGGGGCACTTGATCTTCGTTTTTTATTAGGGGTTGAAGAGTCTTAACTCGTTTAACGACCGCTGATTGGTAAGCAGCTGTAGGTTTCAAAATTTTCGCTCGATAGCGGGCAATATGAGCTTAGGAGTTTGGTAGACATCGCCAGGTTCTAAAATTTTAACTCGATTTGCAGGCAGGACGGTGGCTTGAACTTGACCATTTACGGAATATTCTGTTTTCAACATTACAGACACTTGTTCTGGTAAGTGGTTCGATGGAATATTTTCACTATCATTGATTATATCTTTGATAGGTTCAAGATATTCAATTGTATCTTGTTTTTCAAATTGAGACGCCGTTATTTTGTCTGAATGCAAAGGAAAATCCAATAAATTTTCAAATTGTTCATCAGCAGTGGTGGAGTCAATAAGTGAGATATCAATATGTTCTATTATATGTTCACTATTAAAGACTTTGGGTCGTATAATTCGGGTCCAATGATTCTGATGGTTCGGGAGATAAAAAAACCAGTGATCTTCCTATTACATGGCCGGTAACAAGCGCATCATTGGTACCAGCTGGAAATGGTTCTGATGGCTCTAGGTATGGAAGAACTACCATATCACTCATGTTGTTCGTCGCTGATTCAAGTACTCCAGTACGAGGGGGCTCCTGCATCTTGTAATTAGTCATCAACATCTAATAGTTTGAGGATCATGACATCTACACAGGCCCTGCATTCCGTCACAAAAGCAACTTAATATCCGGTGCTCTATCTGATTTATATTTGTAGATATAATTTGATGGAGTTGCATTGTACCGGGTACAGCCCGTATTCCTTCGGGGATGAGAGTTTTCATATTTTTAACATCATCGGCAGACACATAAAATGTTTTAACAGACTTCATTGTTCTTACTAATATTTTGTGAGCATCAGTAGCGTTGGTAATATCTTCGCCATATAATATTCTTTTATCCAATTGTCTTCACAGACCCCCCAACGCCATCAGCTAAACTTTTACCATGTCCCGCCTCCGAAAATGACCAAGTAGTATGGGTTAATCCTAATTTCTTGGTGAAATAGTTTAGGAGAAAGAAATTTTTCTTTTGTCTGTATGGACTACTTGGCCCATCTAAAAAAAATGTATAATTTTCATATAAGTATTTATTTGTTTTGCCTCTTTGATAACTGGTATAAGGTGTGCCCAGATGGAATGGGGCTCATGGCAGTTATCAGATATAGTCGCAAATGAAGTACTGCATTCCTTTCCAAAAATGACTCCAGTGTGCAAAGTTATGGAATTTTTGGACGCACCATAGTGCATCGACTGTATCTCTTTGCTGTACTTGCAGTCAAAATTTTCCGAGAAGTCACATAATATTATCATTTCTGCGTTTGTAAGATTCGTCACACATGCTCTGTACTGGCGATACTGTTCTTAAAGTTAAAGTTCTTCAATTGTTTTTCAAATTCCAGAATAAGCTCGCTTACAGTCCCTTTCATTTGTTGTTTGACGGTCTGTTTAGTAACAAGCTCCTGGCCTGATTTTATATATTTGTGATCCACCCTGACCCATTGATACCAAATAATCTCATCTTCCAGCTTGTTTCCGCTGTATTGAACATAACTTTTGCACTCGTTGCATTTATTGTACATGCAGCGAAATGATTTCGTATAACACGCAACATTCTTTAATAAATCGCCAGTGTTAGTCTAGGTAATCACTCCTTTTAGTTTTAAAGCCATAAATATAAACTCCATATTGCTGTGTTTAATACACATGAAGGTATCTCTGCTAGCTAAACCTGGTGACAAAATATAAAATGGCTTGTATCTGAAGAAGGTGGTGTAACTGTATTTGCCACCCTCATTTCTTAAAGTATATATTCTATTTGCATTTTTTTTCTTTACTGTTCTCGTTTCTTTCTTACCAGCCGTACTTCTACTTATGTCGTCTCTATTGTAAAATGCTTCCATTTCCAACGCTATTTTTTGTTCGAAAGCACCCGTTTGCTCTTGCTTACAGTTCTTATTTTGCCTTTTAATCCTAAAAGTTTGTTACTAGAACCATTTTTCATGTAAAGTAGTATAAAATAAAATGTTGAAACAAATAAATTTAATATATTTTAATTGTTCCCTTTATATTTGTAAATCCAGATTGTGAACTTCATTTGAATAAAGTAGTTCCTTCTCAGCAACAGTCTTCTGGAAATCAATTGCTTCCATTTTCTTATCATGCAATTTTTGCAATGATGATGAAAGAGCAACATAATATGTAGGTCGCCTTCTTGAAACCCAAGATTTTTGTAATTTTCCTTCTTAACTCTTCTCTATATCATATATAATATGATATAGAGTATATAATCTTAAAACAAAGATCTACATTAAAAATGTAAACAACATAATGCCCATATAACATTTCATCTCACAAAAAACATTTTAATGATAAAATTAAAAACAAGTCTACTACCATGTTGGAACACAAATTATAGGCAAGTCTGGTTTGCTTTATTTGACAGGGCAAGTTGCAGCATGGCAAGAATGATAGACTTGGCTATACTCCGAACTATTTATTGTAATGGAGTCAAGATACTTATGTTTTTTTTTATAGGATAGGGTGACAAATGAGCACACAGTCCACCTGATGGTAAGTGGTTGCTGTGGTCCATAGACCTCTACGTCTATCCTCGATTACTAATCAAAATGCAGATGCGTTGTCACCCATGAGGACTAAGATGGAATGCCTCGTTTCCAGTAAAAAAGGTATCCATTTCTCTACACTCACCATATGAAACACAGCAGCATTAAGCTACTATTTTACCCTGGTATTCTGTGAGAGCATGGTCGTTCCCCAGTCGAGCCGACCCATTCGTGCTATTTGTATCTATTCGACTACATATAAATGTTTAGCAAAACATAGCATATATTTACTGTATACTAGGGGTTGCTTCAGGTGTATAATAGTATAGGGCTACGGAAATGTGTTACTAATTTACCTACATTAATCCTTCGTTCGAGTCTATACCAGTCTTTTGAATTTTATCAATATCAGTCTCAACATCTGTAACTTTAAAAGAAAAATTTTAAAGGGTTTTTTTTTATAGAATAGGGTGACAAACGAGCACACAGTCCACCTGATGGTAAGTGGTTGCTGCGGCCCATAGACATCTACATCTATCCTCCATTAAAAATCAAAATGCAGATGCGTTGTCACCCGTGAGGACTGAGATGGAATGCCTCGTTTCCAGTAAAACGGGTCTCCGGTTCTCTACACTCACCATACGAAATACAGCAGCATTAAGCTACTATTTCACGCTGGTATTCTGTGAGAGCGTGGTCCTTCCCCGGTCGAGCCGATCCATTCGTACTACAACTATACTACTAATATAACTACAGCATGGCTCTACCACGTATAAAAGGTATAACAGTTTTCTATGGTTTCTCTAGGGTACTTAACTAAGCTGTAAGATACTAACCTTTATTACATAATTCTGGCTCCTCTGGTAAAATAACTTGAGCCTCAGTGAAATTATGCCTTTCTAAGCTATCTGGGGCAACACTGTCACTGTCAAAATGGTTGAAAAGTCCAACAGCACTTGTTTTAATTAACAATATGATTTTGGAATCTAGAGAATCTTCTTTCTTTGGCTTTGCTGGTCCTCCACCTAAAATAGTACAAAATGATAAGAGTAAAAGTATTTAAAGTATGCAAAATATTTCAACTATAAATAATAATCTCATAATGTAGGAGACGAAGGAAATAAATCACTTGATCAGACCGCAGCATTGTACTATAAAGTGCTTATTAATAATGGTACATGTTCAACCTAAAGATCTTTGGGATATGCATGTTCCCAGAAGTGGCTAACACTATATAAATGTATGTAAGCATATCTCAGTCCGCTGCTCCTCCAGTTATAAGCTCAGTTAGTTACTCCTGTCCATATTTTTAATGTATACCAAAGATTTATAGGTTTTGCCTAAATAACTGGATCAACAAAACATTGATAAGGTAAGGCAGGATAACAACTAACCTGTTTGGATTCTATGCATCCTCCGGTATGACTCTTCCTTTTTGGCCTTTTTTTTTCATATACTCCCACTCATTTTTTAAACTTTCTCCTGTACGTGAGCAATGTGTCGTTTGGCTATTGTATTCGTGGGATATAATTTGCCATTTGGCTAATTTTTTTTTCATCGTAACACCATTTGTTTTTTTTTATTTTCAATGACACGAAAATGTTTTTCTACGAGTCCTTACAACATACTCTTTTCCGAAGGTAACCAATTTAGGCTACGTTTTTCTCCAGACATGTTATTTGAAAATATAAGAAATAAGAGAAAGGTTATAAGAATAATCAACCGACAACTCGCGTGTTATGTTAGTTCAGTGAGAGTGACAGTTGACACTATTATAATCCGGCGAACTTTAAGTAGACAGAAAGTCTTGCATTGCGCTATATAAACAAATGTATTTCGATTTTAGTTGGCTTACATGTTCATTCATATTTCATTCCCCAACTCTAGAGTAACAATACCCAGTATTGGCTACTCTCCGTTTGTGTTGGAAAAGCGCAAACTAAATTATCCGAGAGTAAGACCAAGGAGTAAATTTATTCGAGGGTTAGTTACTCTGGAGTAACATTGAATTTGGTCGAATCCGCCCTTAATCGACGATAAATGTAGATGTCTACGAGTCACAGCATCCACTTACGATCAGGTGGACTTTGTGCTCGTTCGTCATTCTTATTCTATAAAAAAAATTGTAAAATGAAACAGGTTTTTTTAACGATTCTTTCCGATTCTTCTCCGACGTCTCGTTATTGCGAACTGGTGCAGATATTGACGTTTATAAGAGCTATAAATAATCCTAAATTGAATTAAAAAAAATTTAATTTGTGTTTGCAGCGGATACATACGAACCGTTTGCGGCGACTACGTGCAAGGCGTCGTCTCACCCCACCCCCCCAAACGGGGGAGTGTCCTGTCTGCAACGCTTCGTTGCCTATCTCGAGGCTTCAGAGGCACGCGTTGAGATGCTTGAAGAGGACGGGAGCGGAAATGGACGATGATGTACCTGACACCAGCTCGGAAGAAGGCAGCATTGATGTGGGGGTTCGTAGAAAATTTGTGCTGCTTCCATCTACTTATAATATAAAATAAAGTGTTATATTGGTCGTAACTCATATAAAGCTTGAGTGTGTGGCGGCGCTGTCGTCGCGCCGCAAGCGAAACACACCGAAGCCTAAATCACGCTATCAAAATTCCGAATCATAAACAGTATATATAGAACATCTCCGAACTATCACAAGGAGTCTTGGTTGCTCCCCGGGCAGAACACCTTGCCCGGCGGGAGATTTCCCCTTTTTCGTTCCACACCCACAAGTGAAAGGATTTTTTTAAAAGGAAGTATGGGTAGCAATCGATCTCACAGTCCATCTAATTGTAAGTAATTGTAGGATTATGATGGTATTACCACGTACAAGACAAGATATAAAATAAATTCCAGAATGATGAACCGACGGGCGGCAGCTTCGGGGCGGAGTACCAGTGGTGTGGAGAGTGGAGGGTCAGGGCTGCGGCGCTGCAGGCGGCCGAGGGGAGAGTCGCCACGTGCGTCCGCAGGGCTTCAAATGATCAAGCGCTGGTGAGTACATTTTTCATATAGGACTATCGACCTGGCCTGGCTTCGCCTGGGTAGTATTTTTTTTATAGAATAACGGTGACAAACGAGCACACAGTCCACCTGATGGTAAGTGGATGCTGTGGCCCATAGATATCTACTCGTACATTTAACCTTGATTAAGAATCAAAATGCAGATGTGTTGTCACTCCTGAGGACTAAGATGGAATGCCTCGTTTCCAGTAAAAAGGGTCTCCGGTCTCTACACTCACCATACGAAACACAGAAGCATGAAGCTGCTATTTCACGCTATTCTCTGAGAGCGTGGTCCTTCCCCGGTCGAGCCGACCCATTCGTGCTACAACCGTAATGTAGCTGCAGCGTGGCTCTACCACGTATAAATAATATATATCGGTATTCCGTTGCAATAATGGTTTCGACAGACAACAATGATTCTTTTTTTGATAATATAGGAACACTGAGTTTCGGCGCCGCCGAAAGTTCGGCAGATTTTTTAAGGAAACCGAAACTAGATTTTTCGCTGAAACTTGCCGAAATCGATTCCGAATCTTCGGTCGGTCACTAGTTATTACAATGCGATAGCTTTATTTCAGGCATCAAAGACTTAAAAATAAAGAACATTGGCCCATAGCAATATGTACCTTAACCTAAAAATATTTATAAAATATAAATATAACACTATTTAGGGAACTTTCTTCTTTGGCGCGTCCCTGTATCGGCGAAACACTACCCCAGAGGGCCAGAAATCGGGTGCAAGGAATGTCTCTTTGTATTTTGCTGTAGTACGTAGGATTTGAAATATTATTAAATTATCCATCCAATAGTATCAGCAAAATTAAATTGACGGCTCCGTGGCGCAGTGGCTCAGCAATGAGTTACAGCGCTATGGAAAGGACTGCGGACTTGAATCCCGCACGGAGCGAGTACTTATATGGCCTACAAGTAATTGTTCCGGGTCTAGATGTTTGTCCTTGTGCAATTTATGTTTGTAAACTGTCTCCACGATACAGGAGAAATCATGGTGTGGAAGTAACGTTTGCAAAAAAAAAATTAAATAATGCTTACTTTATGAGGAGATGCATGTTATCAATCATATTTCACATTTATGTGGTTTCGTCGTAAGGATTAGAGGACGCAAAACCGGTCAGTATCTAAAAACCGGGTTTTTCGGTTCCGGGTCCGTACAGAACCGGATGTCCGGTTCTTTTCGGTTCTCAACAGTAAAAAAGTTACTTAAGGCAAAATAAAACTACATTAATTTGGTGCTAATGATGATAGTGATATGTATATACTTAATCAATTAAATGTGTTACAATAATTCTAATTTTTATAAAATCATCTATTTATGAAACAACAAAAAACCATCTTGTCTTCTGAGATTCATACAAATAAAATTTAGAAAAACAATTTAAAGATTTTAACAAACGAAATAATATCAAAGAAACAAAATCAACGCCATTTATTTTCTCACAGTCTTAGGATTCTCTGGTAATAATAAAGAAATGAACACTTTCTGGATGAGTCGCTCGCGTCCGTAGGCTTCGACCACCTAACCTTAGGCCCACCCTACACGTGTCCCCCGGGTGGTGCTAAACGAGCGACAAAGCCGAAAAAATAGACTCGGCTCCTCGCCGTATAGTACCGGCGTAAAATCTACCACCACCCCTTGTTCGTACCATGACTCAGAAAATAAAAGAAATGGCCCCGAGTTCCCGGCGCCCCTTTAATGGGGCAGGGGTGCGAAGAATCTCCGGGAGAAAAACCGGCGACGAGGTTCGCCACCCGTCACGTTCTGTCTCCCGGAGGGGCGAAAAGTGGATTACGGAAACCCGTCTGGCTACGCTGTATGTATGTGGAGTAATGAATGAAATGGATGAAGTATGCGAAATGATGAATGACAGAGGAATAGATGTGTTATGTGTGAATGAGACGAAACGAAAGGGAAAGGATGCCACTGCACATGGCACGTATACCGCGTATTGGTCTGGTGTAGACGAGACCGAACGGGCGTGCCAGGGAGTCGGTTTCATCCTTTCAGAAAGAATGAGTCAGTGTGTGAAAGAGTATTAATGTGTAAGCCCGATGCTGCTATGGATACGAATGAAAGTGGGCTTAAAGAAGCTGTTCCTGCTAGAGGTGTACGCTCCAGACATGTCTAAGCCCACTTACATCCGAGAGCAGTTTTGGGACATGGTAAGGATGGTGTTGACAAAATGTAAGGAAAATGAAAATATTATTATGTTAGGAGACTTTAACAGCTTCGCTGCCGGCCTGACTATGGGGGTGGTTTGAGAAAATCCAAATTGTTTTTTTTATAATATGCGTTCGGCACATACCTAAAGAATATTTCAATAAATGTTTGACTATTATTATCATGTTTTACTATGAAGAAAAAACAAAATTAATATTCCCGCAAATATGCGGGCCCGGCACTGGGGTTGAAATTTTCTATTCTAGTGCCGGGCCCGCAATTTAGCGGAGTGGCTTATTTTATGTATAATCGTATATTTATGTCATTTGGACACGACATTAATGTCCTTTTTCTTAATTCTAATACTCTTGAGAACAATAACTAATTTTTCACATAGTAAGCTTACAAAAAATACAGTAAAAATTAAACACAGTAAAAAAAAAACAGTTGAACAAAAAAAACTTCTTCTTCAGCTTCTAACACAAAATAAAAATTCTAAAAATATCCTAATGAGATTATAAACAGAGCTGTAATATAATCCACAGCTATGATGTCAAAATAAAATAAAGTCTAGATGGACAAATGGAATTCGTCAAAACACTCAAAGCACAGACCAGGTTTGTCAATGCAAGTTTCGCAATGCCACATAGAGTCTCTCCGTTTTTTTTGAGATTTTGAGCACATGCGGCACATCTTGCGCTTGATGTTTCCTTTGGAATTTCTCTCAGTTATTTTACTGATTTTGTGTGGCACTTCTCTGCTCGTTTTCGCTCTGCTTGGGCCGGTTGGAACAGACACTGCAGTATTTTTTTCAGGTAAAAGCTCATTTATCACAGCTAAGCGATAATCGTAGAGTGTCATTTTAGGTTTTCCAGAATATTTGTTGTACATTTTATAAGAGTTTATAAATAGTAGTTGAAAGGTGTGGATGGCTAACTTGAGATACCAGCGAAGAGTTTTTCTTTCGCACGGATAAAATGCGAGCAGTTGGTCTTGTCGGTCAACTCCTGACATAAACTCATTATATTTGGCAATAGTTGCAGGTTTTTCATTAATTTGGCCACGCTTATTAGCAACTGGTATCCTTATATCGTCATATTCCGTGGTGACGTACATCACTGGGCGCTTATCTTTCCATTTTCCGATGTGCACACATTCTCGAAACCTTGAAATGTTATCGCCTTTTTTTAGCGTTTTTTGAACCACATCCTTTGGATTTTCTTTCAAATCCTTTCTTAAAGTTCCACTACAGTAAGTCTTATTATGTAAAAGACGTTTAGCCAAGTGGAAACTATTATAATAGTTATCCATATATAATGAGTGTCCATTGTGAAGTTTCTCCTCCATCAATTGCATTACAACCTTTTCGGCGTGCCCTTTTCCAGCAACATCATGGTCTTGGCTCCCAGCATATACTCGAAACTTCAAAATGAGACCATCAGGTTCAGTCAACATGTATAGTTTGATACCATACTTATGGCGCTTGTTTTTTACATACTGCTTGAATCTCAGTCGCCCTCTCCACAGAACCATGCTCTCATCCAACGACAGCTCTTTGCCAGGATAATAGCATGTATTCATTTTTTGGTTGAAATAATCAACGACACTACGTATTTTGTACAGTGGGTCATCATTCACTATCTCTGTCTCTGAGCTGAAGTGAAGACATCTCATTATTAGGAAATATCTATTTCTACTCATCTGTTGACCAAAAATAGGTATTGAAAATAACCGGCTCTTTTTCCAGTAATCTTGTAGTCGGGGCAGCTGAAAAGAACCCATGTGGAAAAGTAAGCCAAGGAATATTTTCAGTTCAGGAACGTCCACGTCCTTCCAATTAGTTATTCTTGATGATTCCGAAACACCGAAAAGAAATAACTTTCTGGCTTGAGCATTAGTTTTTTCACAAATCATTGCAAGGAAATCATCTTCAAAGAAGAAATTGAAAAATGCGATTGGAGTTGGGTCAGGCGCGCCAAAGAACTCATTTTGTTTAGTGAAATCAATTTTTTTTAGCTCACATGTCGTTGTCCATGAAGAAGTAGCTCCTTCCTCAGGTAGTGCTAATCTTTCTGGTTGTTGTATTGCTTCTAATGACGGACTCCTTCGACGAGTACGTTGCGACGCTAATTGTAAATCCATAGCCGCCATTTGCATAATATTTTGCCGCTCGATTTCCTCTTCATCATCATCTGATGTCATGTCCTCAAGCTGGAAGTCATCATCAGAGTCGTTGCCCAAAAGCTGCTCTTCAATATCACTATCAGTTATCTTATAAACTGGCTCCATTTTCTTTCGTTTCGGCCGCGAGGGACCCGGTTGATCACTCATAATTGAACGCTAATTTCTTCAAATTAAAATTAAATTTTTTAAAACCACAACTTGCACAACAATTTTGCAACATTCAAGCGCAGTGCCAACCTATAAACGTGTTGTCAAGAGCTGTGCCGGATGCGTACTGAGGCATACAAACTGAGCGGTGCTACTCCGCTAATTTGCGGGGTCGGCACCCCGCGCTCAGCCCGCCCCCCGCAAATATGCGGAGTTGGCACTGAAGTTGTTAATGGGAGGGTTGGGGTGAAGAGGTATGGTTATGAAAGGATATTGGGAACGGTTGGTGATGAAAGTATAAATGAGAATGGGGAAGACCTCCTCACCGTATGTGTGGAAAAGAATATTTTTGTGACGAATACTTTTTTCGTCATAAGAAGATTCACATGTATACATAGGAAAGAGGTGATGATAGAAGCATGATAGATTTCGTAATTGTGGATGAAAGAATGAGGAGCGCAGTCGTAGATTATATAAATATATAGGCTTTACCGGGGGTCCAACGTAGGGACGGATCATTACTTGGTCTTATGTCAAATTAATGGTCTTTTCAAGCGTTGACGGCATCGGACATCTGTATCTACCACTGCGTTACAGCGTATAAGAATAGAGAAGTTACAAGATGAAGATGTGAAAGAGAAGTATAAATGTAGACTGAGAGGAAATATTAGATGTTTGAATGAGTTGTGTATGAATGATTTAGACTTGAATACTGTGTGGGATAATATTAAGAAAGGTTTGGTGGATGCAGCCACCGAAGATGTGGTGTAAGTAAGAGAACAAATGAAAGGAAAAGTAATACGTTGTGGTGGGATGATGAGGTACGGGTGGAAGTTGAATCAAAGAAGAAAGCATGGTTAGATTTACTAGCAACCAAAGCTGGTAATTCTTCTGGTATGAATGATGAGATTGAAAAAAAAGGCAGAATTTAGACGTCTAAATAATAGAGTAAAAGAAGTTGTTGAAAGGAAAAAGAAAGAAAGAACGGATAAGAATGATAGAAGGATATCTGATAATTTCCAGGCTAACATAAAAATGTTCTGGAAACTCGTAGGAACTGCCAGGGGAAATACAAAACAGCCTATAATGAATGCTATAAGAGACGAGAATGGATGTATTCTGAATGATGAAGCTTCGAATTTAAACGGAAGGAATACTTTGAAAGCGTGTTTATGAGTGAAGAGTCGTCTGAATTAAATGAACTAGAAATTCCGAAAGAAGTGGAAAGGGGTATGGAGATAAGTGTAGATGAAATAATGAAAGCAATGAAAAGCATGAAAGCAGGTAGGGCAGCTGGATATGATAGAGTATCACCCGAGATGCTAAGGGCTGGAGAGGGAGTGGTGGCAGGCCTGCTGTACACCTTGTTTAATTTATGTTGGAAATTACAACGGGTACCGGATGACTGGTGTAAAGCAGTTACAGTACAAATATATAAAGGAAAAGGGTTACAGCAGGACTGCAAAAACTACCGTGGTATCAGCTTGCTTAGTATTGTGGGTAAACTGTATGCTAAGGTGAGAGTTATGAAAGAAACTGATGGAAAAATTTGGGATGTGCAAGCGGGTTTTAGAAAGGGAATGGGGTGTACAGATCAAGTCTTTTCCATGCGCATGATTGCGGAGAAGTTTTTGGCCAAAAACCAGAAAGTTTTTTGTGCGTTCATGGACTTGGAAAAGGCTTATGACAGTGTAATGTTGTACGGTTGGTAAATGAAAGGGAGACGTGTTTATCTACTCAAGACTTTAATTATACTGTCACTTATTCTTCACTTAACACAAATATGTATAATTTCGTGGAGCCACACTACACCTCCCACCGACAAAAAATAAAAAAATAAATTTATACATTTTTTTAACTTATAAAATTAAATATAAAATTTAATTCTAATGCAAATATAAATTATAAAAATACAATCTTATTATATACCTATTATTTTCTAAAGATAAATAACAAAATTTTTTCGGTTAAGGTATTCTATGGGCAGGTCGAGTGGGCAGATCCCTCTGTTCCATATTAATGTCGAGGTCACAGTCTTGTACATAGTTTCGTCACAGTTTAGTAGTGATAAACATCTACTTACGTTTAAATATTTTCTTATATTGTTTTCACAATAAAAGGGTGGTACATTTTAAACTAAGTCACTTACTCGTCGGTATTAAGTCATTTAGTCACTTAATTTTAATGAGGAAAATAATCATTTTACTCGGTCTGAATTATTCTCATTTTTCTCCAAACTACAAATATTATAATCGTTAAGATCATAAATAGCAGGATTTATTCCTGACAATGTTACTGATTTTTCGGTAACATTTAATATTTTTATTGGTATTTTTCCCCTAATTGGTGTCGCTATCGAGCTAGACAAATAAACGCCATCTTGTGATTCTTGTGAACAAATAATGCAATCGGTTTGAAAATCAGTTTGAATATAATGTATGGATTCACTTCTTGGGGGAATTTCCAATACGTTAATATTATAATTATTAGTGAAAGACAAGAAACAAGTGTGGCCTGACCCTAACTTCAAAGATAAAATATTTTTCTTGAAATCTAAACATGCTCCAAATCTATTCAAAAAGTCTCTACCTAGAATTCCATGCGACGAAATTGGTAACGAATTAAAAACAAAGAACTTGTGATTAATAACAGATCCATGAATCGTTAATGGAATATAAACATATCCGATTGTTTGCACCTCGCCACCTAGACCGTTTATAATTACATTCTCTTTATGTAATGAAACACTTCATTCGATAGCATGTTTATATGTTACGGCAAATAAAGATGCGGCCGTGTCGACTAAGAAATAATAAGTTTTATTGCATGACTATCTATCCAACCCTATGGATTTGGCCGGGGATTCCCTTATTACCTTGTATTTTTGTAGATTGTTAGGCCTTTTTATTATCATTTCTTTTCATAAATCTTGTACGTACTTTCTCTTTTTTTTATTAATATTTTGACATTTAGATAGCTTTATTCCTCCGGAACCGGAGTTTCAATTCACTTCAATTATATTTAATTTCATGATATTTATCATGCGGGTACTTTATACACATACATATAGGCCCCCCATTTACTTGGGTATTATAATCATTTTATTTAATTGGTACATAATTTTTTTTCATATATCTTGGGTTGTGCGCACAACCTTGAGGTCTACGTTTTTTAAGTCACTTTTAAAGGACTCCAACAATGCAAACACAATTTACGTCATCGGCGGCTGAGTTGCAAATGATGGTTACATTAATGAACTGGGAATTAAAAGAAAGGGGAATGAAAGTGAACGCAAGTAAGACGAAAGTGATGGTTTTTGAAAGAGAAGAAAGCAAAACGGTATGTGAAATAAGAATAGAAGGAGAGTTAATTGAGCAAGTGGATGAGTTTGTGTATTTGGGATGTGTATTTAGCAGGGATGGTAGATATGATAGGGATATAGAACGACGAGTAAATGCAGGGAATAGAGTGAATGGGGCACTACACTCTATTATGAAGAACCAGAATGTGTCAAAAAAGGCACGTATGGTAATTCATAATGCTGTGTTAGTCCCTACTTTAATGTATGGTAGTGAAAGCTGGGTGTGGCAGAAGAAGCACGAAAGTAGAATAAATGCTGTAGAAATGCGGTCTTTAAGGAGTATGCTAGGGTTGAATCTGAATGACAGGGTGAGAAATTGCGTGATAAGAGATAAATGTGGTATGCAAGATAATGTTGTGACCAAGATTAAGAAAGGAATGCTTCGGTGGTTTGGTCATGTAGAAAGAATGAATGAGGAAAGAGTGACAAACCAAATTTATATAGCAGATGTGAACGGCCGAGTCGGGAAGGGACGCCCTAGAAAAAAGTTTATCGACCAAATTGGCGATATTTTGTAAAGGGGCCACGTTAGAAGTACCCTTAACCGACGAGCATGTATGCGTAGATATATGGAGGCGTGAGTGTCGTGAAAGGACGCCCTAGAAAAAAGTTTATCGACCAAATTGGCGATATTTTGAAAAAGGGGCCACGTTAGAAGTACCCTTAACCGACGAGCATGTATGCGTAGATATATGGAGGCGTGAGTGTTTATATATGTATGTACTTTCTGTGTGTTGCTGGCCACGCTTAAGCGATTGCTTACATATATAGTAGTATATATATATAAATATGTTATATACTTCGATATATATATATATATATATATGTTATATACTTCGATATCTCAATATGGGACTCCTAAACTACTTAACCGATTTTAACCAAATTTGCACACCGGGTGCAGTTTGGTCCAACTTGAGAGATTTTTTGCCCATGAGTGACCCACAATTTTTTTTGCTTTTATTAATTTAAGGATTTTTAACAGGACATGACAAAGGGTCGTCGAAAAGGGCTGAACAACGTCTGCCTGGCAAGCTAGTATATTATATACTTCTTATATATACTATATACTACTTCTACATATATATATATATATACTAAATATTTCTTAAGTATATACTTTTTTATATATTATATACTACGTATATTATTTAACAATTTTCAGCACCGGTATAAACCGATTAGTAATTTAAAAAACGGTTTTCTTAGGTTGTTTTTAGGTTTTTAGGATCCATATGACAATGAAAAAATTGTTTTTTTTTTTAATACTTATTAAACTTTATTCAATTTAAAAAAAACTTTTTTTTCTTTTTAGTTACATAATTAAATCATAATTTTGGTGGATAAAACAAAGTTGATATATTTGCATCATCTAGCAGCCTGTTCCTTCGCGATGATAAGAAATAGCCGGAAGTAGAAAACATTCATTCCGAAGGTACAGATGTCGCTGGCACTGACAGATATTGATTAAAACTACTTTTACGGGTTTTATCGCGTTTAATTTTACTATTAATTATTTTTATTTTTAATTCCCGACGTTTCGGGTGCTTTCCAGCACCCATGGTCACGGGGGACTTAGGTGACTGACGTCCCGATGTCATTGTTAAACCCGCAGTACCTTCACCTTTTTTAATTTTTGTTTATGTTTCTAGCCATGTTATTAAGCGGCGCCAAATATTTATTTGTTTTCCAGTAAGTGACTTCTGTATGTTTGTCTTCTTGCCAAGGGTCAATCTCGGTTTCCATGTGCAGTATGTTTACTGCAGAAGCAGTCGTATTTGTAACACCACTCTCGGTCCTTGTTTGTTTTAAAAAATTCCCGGCTTATTTGTTGCCACCTGCTCAGTCGTAGGTATTGAATCAGAGGATGGTGCTGCAGTTTTATTATTGGAGTCCAGTATCAGACTCCCCAACTCCCGCCTCACTCGGTCTTTAGCAGATAACATATTTTCAGGTTGACGAAAGCCGCTCCTTAAAATTACATACATAAAATACATAAACACTCACGCCCGTCACCCCGAGGGGTAGGCAGACTACAGACTTCCATTTGGCACGATCCTGACATACCTCTCTTGCCTCCTTCACATCCATACACCTACGCATACATGCTCGTCAGTTAAGGGTACTCCTAATTTGGCCCGTTTTCAATAAATCGCCTATTTGGTCGATAAATTTTCGCCTAGGACGTCCCTTTCCGACTCTGCCATTCACTTCTGCAACATAAATTTACTTTGTCACTCTTTCCTCATTCATTCTTTCCACAAGACCAAACCACCGAAGCATTTCTTTCTTAATCCTGGTCACAACATCACCTTGCAAACCACACTCTTCTCTTATTAATTTCTTACCCTGTCATTCAGATTCAGCCCTAACATACTCCCTAACGACCGCATTTCTACTGCGTTCATTCTACTCTCGTGCTTCTTCTGCCACACCCAACTTTCACTACCATACGTTAAAGTAGGGACCAACACAGCATTGTGAATTGCCAAACGTGCCTTAAAATTGGATTTGGATTATATGGTTTGGATTTTTTCTGTTGAAGGCAGTACATAGTTAGGATTTAAGGCTTCTACAAACCTTTTGAAGCCTTTGTCTTCCACTACGGAGAATGGCTGGAAATCGGTGGCGAATATCAGTGTAAGATATTTATTTATTTTCTTTTTGTTACTCCCCATCGTCATTTTCAACTTACTTTGACTGAAGGTTTTCCGTGGATGTTTTTAGTCAGTATTATTTGATGTGAGCGGGATAGATTGTTCATTGTCACTGACGGCATGCTTCTCAGGATCGACTGGCAGTGTTGCCTGTGGATGACTTCTCTTGAGATGAGCCAACATATTAGATGTCCCTTCACCAACATTGATAATTTTTCCACATTATAAGAGATTTTCCTTTTACTTTTGGCATTCTGCAAACAAACAAAAAATAAATCGATCAAATTAATAGGTTACTTTATAGACCACAGGTAAAATTGACATGAAACTGCTTTTTTATTTAAACAAAACTGCTATTCATAAGGATTCAGATACACATTGTAAAGTTATAGGGCTGCCAATATGCAAAAGAAATCGGTTATTTAACTAGAATCGGCATCACTAGTTTGTGACATGTGGTTTCTTCCTGCTATTTTTGCGCGAGCTAAAATTTAATATGAATTAAAATAGGAGTTCATGATTAAAACTAAAACAGGCATCAGTTTGGTGAATATACTGTATGATGAAACACGTCAACAATACCCACAAAAGTTTTGAGAAATATAATATTATGCATATGTCGCAGCGCCTCTGTGGCTAGTCGGAATTATTGTAAACAACACGTGCACCGCACACCTGCGCATTGCACCTGCAGTGGCGCTCGTGTAGCTACTTATCTCGATTGTATAAAACGGATGGAGCGGCCGCCGTTAAAGCAGTCATGGCTCTTTCGTGGCACAGTTCACTTGTTGTATCCCACTACTAGTTCATCCTAGACCATGGTTTCCCAACCTTTTTTTCTTGAGGCTCCCCGGACTATTAATAATATTTTCATGCCCCCCCCCCCCCCCTTTACTTTTACAATAAATACAAAAAATGCACATTATGTACTTAAAAGCCTTTTACTTTAATTCTAATAAACAAACTTTGAATGTTTTAACGTAAGTATTAATGAGACACTTGAGGTTTTTTTGCATGTTCTGTACAAGTTGGTTGATTCTAGGTTCTGTTCTTGCCAGAGCTATCATCAGGTGGCTATCGACATCAAGACGATTTCGCTGTTTAGTTTTAATTAAAACTAAAGCAGAAAAGCCTGTCTCACACAAGTAAGTTGAAGAAAAAGGAATTAGTACTCGTAAAGTAAGAGAGGCAAGTTTCGAATTAACAGGCAATCTTTTGATCCAAAATTTCTCCAATGTCAAAAGATGGAACTCATCTTTCATGGACGAATCAGTTTTCATTTCTAGAAATTCTTTCTGAACTTCTTCTGGTAATTGTAACACATCGACAACAAATGGATTTCTTGTCATGTGCCATATTGGTGACTCTGAATCGATGTCTCGATAGTGTCGGCGAAATTCGTCTTCCAGCGCTTGTAAATGAATTTTTATGTCAGCTTTCAAATTTGCGTCTAGTTTGTTATTTTTGATTACTTCGAACAGCCGAGAAAAAGATATAACATTTTCAGAAGACAATTTTTTATTCCAAAGTTGAAGCTTTGCTATAAACCCCTGAATATAATCATAATTGCTTATTATAGTGCCGTTTCTGCCCTGAAGTTTCAAGTTTAGCTCATTCAAGGTATCAAATATGTCAGTTAAATAAGCCAATATACATTGAAATGTGTCATCTTTGAACATTGTGAGCAAATCGTGTTTTTCTTTCAACTCAAGAAAAAGATTTACCTCTTCTTTCACTTCATAAAGGCGAGCCAACACGACAACTTCTGTATGGAACAGAAGAACTTTGTGATTAGAATCAAGATCCTCGCAAATTAAAGTAAATAACCGACTGTTCAAAGCGCTGCTCTTGATGTAGTTTACAGTCCTTATAGCCGAGTCCAAAGTCTGGCGTAATTCTGTGCAATGTTTTGGAAGCCAAAGCTTGCCTATGAATAAAACAATGTAAAAAATAAAAATATAAATTTCTTTGCAACTTTCCGCTAAACATATAAAATGATGTGTCTTACCTGGATTGAAGCGCACCTCCCGCCCTCCCTCAATTGCATACACTAACTCCGTCACCACTAGACCAAGCACCACTACTCTCAACACCACTATTTCAGGCAAGACACACCATCGACGATAATACGACACGTGTTTCGCCTCTACACGAGGCATCCTCAGGTAATATAGACTCAACGGCGGCTGACCGCTAAGTACTCTAAGTACCAAATCATTTTTTTTCAACAAAATTTGATATTGAATTAAATATATCTTCAGATGTAGTACCCGCTGTCAAAGATTGAGAGTACGCTTCAATGATATCTCCGCCGATGTAACGATCATAAACTATTAACTGTGCACAATTAACGATGTCGGTGGATTCATCGCAACTAATGGCGAAAAATGGCGATAATTTTACTTTGTTAATTATTTGTGACTTAATGTCGGCTGCAATGTCATCGATTCTACGCTTAGCTGTATTATTGGAAAGAGAAATGGACTTCATTTTTTGCTCTGCATCTTCTAAAATTATCTGCGTGGCTTTTAGTGCACATGGTTTTATTAATTCTTCACCGATAGTATGAGGTTTCTTTTGCTTTGCTATCATAAAAGCTATTTCAAATGAAGCTTTGAGATGCTGCGATACACCTGTGTGATAACTTCCCGATTTATCCAATCTTAACCGCTTGAGTGATTCTGCTTTAGAAGAAAAAAACTCTTTCGTCTTCAAAACCAGAGTAGGATGTTGTTGCTTTAAATGCCTTTCAAGGCGATTGGGCCTCATGCTATAATTACTTAAAACTTTCATACATATCACACACTGAGGCAATTGTGACTCGTCTGTTTCTTTGAAAGTAAATCCAAACTTAATGTAATCTTCGGAAAACTTTCTTTTTTTCGCTGCCATTTTGCATCTATAACAATAAAACAAATAATCAGTCACAATGGCTGATCTATGAACGCGTCTCCGCTCTATCACCAATTTAGTAAATTAAATAAAATTGGTGACTGAAGTTTGTAAATACACAAACTTACCTTTTAACAGTGAGACACAATAATTTTGCATGCTCAAACTGATTTTTCAACAAGAAATGTACACCGAAACGTCAAATTTGTCGCAGCGCGGGAATGAATTTCACAGATGCTTATGCGCGTCCGGTAGGTACTCAATTGTTTTCTAAACTGATGGATGAATGTTAAGCGGCGGAGGTGCGTGCGGGTTTCATGTTGTGACTTGTCGAAACTTATATAAACTGCGATTGACGACGTCGGGTTTTCGTTGGGGTCAACTGGTTGACAGAATAAATAAGTGAATAGGTATTATGTTTAATTGTATTATGTTGTATGTTTGTTTTTTTTTTCGCCTGTTTACCACCTTAGTAATAATAAAAAGGGAAATGCAAACGCCTTGCGCCCCCCTTGACATCTCTCTATGCCCCCCTTGGGAGGCGTGCCCCCCTGGTTGGGAACTCCCGTCCTAGACTATTCGGATAATGAATTCGTGGAAACGAATTAATTATTATTATCAGCTATTAAATTAATCTCAGTACAATTTATAGTTGATTACCTGTGATCCGTGTATTTCGTGATTGTAAATTAATTCTGTTTAACTACCTTCCTACACACATAATTTTCATGCTTACTAGACCATATTGCAGACTAAGTCATTATTTCGTTAATAAACGTCTCAGTATTTATGTTTTATATGGCGGAAAAATCAACATAATTCGATTAATCCGCAAGATGCGCGAACATGTACCGCTGGTCGCGGTCGCTTGACGCGCACGCTAGTTGCGCCAACGTGGCACTTCCCGTTCGTCTCGTATTGTTATTTTATACCCTCATCGCGGACGCAAGGTGCGTCGCTCTAGCGTGGCACAATTTCTTTCTTATAAAATCAAACAAACAAAATCGTTCTTATTTTGGTAATAAGGGCGTAAAAATAAGAGAAATGCGTTTAAGCTTTTATCGCTTAATAAAGGAATTAAATCTCGTTATTTCGGACAAACACCAATAATTGTTGGTAGGTACAAGGAAGTTATAACAATGTTAGTAATAACTAGGTACAAACACGAATAATTGGTTTAAGTACAAACCAGGTCTGTATCAGGCACTAGGTTTAAGCGCATGCATGGTCACCCAGTGTCCCATAATAGGACAATCAGGTTTGTCACTAATAATAATAATTATTCGGTCATCATTAATAACAATTTTAATGAGGACCGAAGACGATTGCAGATAAATCCTGACGAAGAAAATATGCATTCTAACTCGACACTTGTGGTTGAAATCGTCTTTAAATTATCAAAAGCTGCTGTTAGATAGCGATCTTTTGATCCACCATTTGCAAAAAGAGCCATTTCAAATTTAATGGTAACCTTGAGACTATCGTCTAAAACAGCACTATCACCTTTCGTCCCTGTCATAGCTTTCTCTAGTTCTCTGTTCAGTTGCTCTTCATCGGTCAAATCTTGTATTTCAATATTTTCAACTTCCCGAACTTCACTGCTTATTTCTGCCACTGACAGTCCAGTCTGTTCAATTTTCGTGGTTAAGGTATTAAGGACTCTATTTGGTCACACATTTAATCACCGGTGAGGTAAGAAAAGAGTCATGGTAGCTCAGATGGTTAGCGCTCGCTGTAAATTTCACAGTACGCGAGCAAACCGGATTCGATCCCCGCCGGCACCGATGAAATTGTTAATTGCAATTTTAAGTGCTGATTTACCAAGTGCTCGGCGGTGAAGGAAAACATCGTAAAGAAACACGCATTGGGGCAGCGCGGCGGACAATTATATGCCCTAAAACCCTCTCAGAAATGAGCGGAGGCCTGTGTACAGCTGCCCAGTGAGGGATATATATAGGCTGTAACTCTACTTTACTTTAAGTAATTAATTGTAAGAAAATACTGATCTATCATATTTTTCTTTGTTCGAAAAGTACTGCTTTGAATTAGTGAGGTAGCTCATCGATCTGCACAACTTTTCCTGGGCCACCAATTTTTCCACTGTGATCCATTTTTTCCAAATAATATATTACTACGCATTCCCGACAATAGCTGAATCAATCAACAATAGTCGTTCTGCTTAAACGGTGTTCCCTCTCTTCCTTGTATGGATCCTCATTCATTGTAATTTCGTAGCTCCATTTGTAAGCATAAACATATATTAAATAAAAAAACATGCACCAACGGAATATTAATATTTTCAGAAAATGTTCCAGCTATCTGTGATACTTTTCCCTTTAGCTTACATTGGCCTTTCGTGCAAATCCAAGCACCAAACGATTTGTTAGCCAATTTCGCCAATCACATAGGTGTACGGTGCGTGCGGCATATGTTTTGGGAATGCACCATTCCATTAGCATCAGCAAAACCAACACATTCTTCATGTGTCCCAAGTTCTTTAATAATTTTGGATAAATTCCACATTTTAACTACTTCCTCCGAATTTAATCGTCGATCAACAAACGGCCCGTCGTCCACGAAGAAATCGTGATCGGGAACTGTCGAATCAGTTGAAGTCGCAGCTCCTCTCAATCCTAAGCTCGTGGACGGCCCAGGTTCCGAATCTCGGTCGGATGCCGACATAGCTTGTTTGTCGATGTCCAGTGAGTAAGTCAAAGTCGTCCAGAGATGCAATCCAAACGGTGTCCAAAGGGGTAGCCAAGTCGTCGACAAATAGCAAGCAAATGGTGTCCAGAGGGGAAGCGAAGTCTTCAAAAAACAGGAGGAGGCAGGCTGGAAGAGAAAACGTTAGAGAGCACATTCTTATAAACTCGGAAGCAACGGAATGACGTAAAGTATATATTTCACTATCAACAAAATGGCCGGTCTAGAGATTCATTTTACACTTTTTTAAATCGATTCGAATCGAAATGGAATGAATCGGTTCACAAAGAATCAAAGATTGATTTCGCAAAAATCGATCTTTTTTTGATTTGCGTTAAAAGTTTGTATTTACAATATCAAAAGATACAGTAAAGTACAGATAACATTGAATGATTGAATTGAAAGACATTCATTCTTTACGAGTTGGTGTACATTCAACTAATTGTAAATAATTTAATGTATCTTAAGAAAACAGAAAAAGATTCGATCTCAACTCTCTAGGGTGTAATATCGATTCACTAGATTGATTCAGTACTATATATCGATATGACATTTGAATGTCATCATTTTATTCTAAAAGTATACGTAAGGAAGCAATATCTACAGTTTTGTATTAATAAAAAATAAGATAATAACTAAGGTAAATACGCATACAACTCGTATAAGGATTTTTAAATAATTTTAAAAGAAAGAAAAACAAAACTAATAGGCTATCCACATTATATGCTGAGTTTCATTTTTGCTATATTTACATTTTTAAATACAGGATTTGAAATAATTTAAAGTGCCAAACCGCTCGGTGTCTATGAAATACAGTTACACTACTAGTAAATCAATTTATCGTTAATTTAATAAAACATTACTACGGTTTATATAAAAAATAACCACGAAGGAAATGACTGGTCTATTCGCTCGCTTCGCTCGCTCACTCCACCCCGTCATCCCCTTCTAACCTAACCTGTCTGAGTCGTGGTGCCCTAAGTCCCAAGCTCGCTTCGCTCGCTATTGCACTCAATGAAACACCAAAATATTTACTTTAATAATTACTTTAATTTGCAAACATGATTTATGGCTGCCACCATTTGTAAGAAAAGATCTTTGTGATATTTAGCAATATTCCGCCGCCATTTCCGGTATTATTATGTTAAAAGAAGAATGTTAGAATGTTACGATTAACCTGGACCAAGCAATTCTGCTTGGTCCAGGTTAATCGTACCGTATACCGAGCATAATTTCTGAGTTCGAAAAATCATTGCTAGAAGTAGGAATCTCAACATTGCTTCTTAACCCTTTATAGGGCATAAGGATTTTTTTTTTGCGCCCGAAGCAATTAAAGGGCTACCCTATACGTAGGGAGGCGGAAAATGCATTACGCATACCACGATAGCCGCTCCATCGTGGTTATGAGGGGCTCACTGTCCTACCGGGGACCCTAAGTGATACCCTCTAAAAACCGCCTTTGGGGACAGGCAGCCGGCTGATTAAGCTGTATTGTGCCTTATCATGAGCGACCCTCTTTTGGGAAAAGAGGGCGCAGGCGGCTAAGAGCCGCTGAGGGAGTGCCTACGAAGGCAAATTAATGTTAGTTGATACAATAATTTAATTTAATTAGAGTTGGCCTGAGCCGCCAGGAGACAGTTCAGGTCGTTTGACAGTTTATTAGGCGGGTCCGAGAGAGAGTTTCTCGGCCTGCGGACACGATAGCGAGAGGGGGGGGGGGCTGCATAAGAAGCTGCCTCACGAATTAAATGGTTTGGGTGCGACTCTGAGGCTTTGAAGAAGTTCTCAGAGAGTTTTTTAAAAAATTGTTGAATTGTTGGGAGCTCTAAGTCCCGATGAAGGTCGGCATTACGGACGTACCAAGGTGCGTTCGCAGCTCGACGACAGAAGAGGTTCTGAACTATTTGGAGTTCATTTATAATATTAGGGTTTGCGTGGGCAAAGACGGGGCCCGCGTAGGACATGACTGGTCGTATACAGACCTTGTAAAGGGTACGCTTGTTTCGAAGGGACATTTTACTGTGTCGGCCCAACATACTGTTGAGCCTACTCAGATAAAACCGTGCGTGACGGGTTACTCTTTTGACGTGGGGCCTGAAAGTGAGCCCTGTGTCTAGAGTGACACCTAAATATTTGGCGGACGTATGCCAGGGGACAGGGGTCCCTAGCATACGTATTGGTGGAGTGTTTTTAAGACGGCGTCGTTTATAATCGAAGTGAACGGCGGAGCTCTTCTCCGGGTTCACATCGATGCGCCATTTTTTGAACCAAGCTCCTAGGTCAACAACTGACTTTTGGATCTTGTTTCGTATGAAGGGTAGTGAGACACCTTTGCAGTAGATGGCAGTGTCGTCTGCGAAGAGGGAGAGTTGAACACCTTTCGACGGGATGGGAATGTCGTTGGTGAACAGGATGTACAGCAGAGGAGCAAGTACTGAGCCCTGAGGGACACCAGCCTTGATAGTTCGCTGTGAAGATAGCGTACCTTCGTGTCTAAAACGAAAGGTACGATGTTTTAAATAGGAGGCCACGAGACGAACTAGACGATCGGGGAGACCTATTTTGTAGAGCTTGTAGATGAGGCCTGTGTGCCAGACTCTATCGAAAGCTTTAGCTATATCGAAAAAGACCGCGATGGTCTTATGACGACGAGGGTAGAAACCGCTGAGGATATATTCCACAATGCGGTGAACTTGTTGGGGACGTGAGTGTTTGGCTCGGAAACCGAATTGATGGGGAATGATAAGAGGGTCGCCGTCTGTGGGAAACAGATAGCGCCTCATACGCGTTTGGATGACTCTTTCGAAGAGCTTGCCCATTGCCTTGAGGAGGCTAATGGGGCGATGGCTGGAGGGGGAGGTTGAGAGGCTTGCCTGGCTTGGGAATTCCAATCACAGTTGCCTCTTTCCACGTAGTGGGGAAATAACTGAGGTTGAAGCAGGCGTTGAAGATAATAGATAAAAAGGTTAACACCTGCTCAGGAAAGTGTTTTAGGGCTTGGTTGGAGATGCCATCCGCGCCCGGAGCCTTTTTGGGCTTAAGTCCTTTGATGAGGGATGAAATCTCATCATTGGACACAGAGATAGGTTCGGAGGCCGTAGGGGGTGAGTTCCGGCGGCGGACCTCATCCTCCACTGCCTGGACGTGAGAGGGGTCGACGGGTTGAGAACTAGGAGAGCATTGAGCGGCAATGCTATCTGCAAAGCACTCGGCCTTTTCCTCGTCCTCGAAGGCAACCGTGCCGTCGGGACGGGAGAGAGGGGGAGTGTGGGTGATAGCGTCTATGCGGAGGGCTCTAGCCATCTGATAGTACGCTGTGTGAGATGGAGAGATATTCTCCATGAGCTTACTCTTTTCGAGGTCTCGAAATTCAGAGAGGCGGAAGCGGAGTTCTCGTTGAAGACGATTGGCCGCGCGCCTATATTCGGGGGTGGGATATTTTGCTGCTCTCCGGAAAGCAGCTTTTTTAGCTTTTAATAGGTTGCTAATATGTAGAGGAAGCCCACTATTGTTAGCAACCGGGAAGACCCTTTCGTTCTCCTTAAGGGAGGATTTAATAAGGGTGGAGAGTGAATCGACCGCGGTGTCGATTTTTTCGGGACTATCTAAGTCCGACGGTAGGGAGACGGTAGAGTCCTGTGAGTCCAAAGCTTTAGCTAGGGACTCCTTGAATCCCTTCCAGTTAGTGAAGGTTTTCGTGTGTGTTGGGGGAGGTGGCTGATGGCCAAGAATGAGGGAGACCGGTCGGTGATCGGATCCTAGATCGTCTAGTGTCTCGATTGATCTGAGGTTGAGAGAAACTCCTTGGAGTAGCGCAAAATCTAACACATCGGGGGCGTGATCGGTGTTATCGGGAAAGTGAGTAACACCGGGAGGACTATGGACGGTAATATCAAGAGACTGCGTGATATCGAGCAGTATCTTGCCACTAGGGGACGTAGTGCGGCATGTCCATTCAGTATGCTTGGAGTTAAAATCTCCAAACATAATGACTGAATTGCCTAAAGATAAAATGGCCTCAAAATCTTTTTTGAGGGGATAGGTTCCTGAAGGGATGTAACAGGAGGCTATGAGGATGGACTGATGTCCAATCATAGCTAGCCTGCATACCGTGGCTTCCATGTTGGTAAGCTGCGGAGTAGAAATGGGCGAGCAATGAAGTGTCTTCTTGTAATAAATGGCCGTTCCGCCGCCTCGGCGGTCGGGTCGGTCGTTACGAAGAAGAGAGAAGTTTTTAATAGAAAGGCCTCTAGTGTCCTTAGCTTTGAGATTAGTTTCCTGTAGGAGGAAGAAATCGACTTCACGATTCCGAAGAAAGAGCTTAAGCTCTGGGAGGTTATTTCCGCCGCGAATATTAAATGATACAAGCGATAAACCCTTAGGTTTGATACGACCGTGAGATTTAGGTAGAGTGATTTGCTCAGTCATTGAAGTTAAGTTAATTAAGTTAACTTAACTTACAACGCTAATAGAAGATTGTTGTGTTCTGCAAGAACGAGGAGACGTTCTTGGGGGAACTTCGCCGCGCGCAGTTTGCGTGCTACTACGGTGATTTCCCTAACATCGATATTCCTAATAGCGGAATATAGTGTGTTGTAGTCGTCAGGTGTGGGATCTGCTTCATATGCGTACGAGGTTGTCCGCGGTGGGTCTGCCTTTTTGGGCCCCCAGGGAAAGACTGGAGGCTGCATTGGCTTGGAGAAGCCCGGAGGGGGGCCGAATTATGCCCTGAGGGGGCCTAGGGGGACCCTGAGAGGGTCGAGAGAAGCCCTGGATGGGCTGAGAAAGGCCCTGACGTGGCCGTTGTTGGAGGGCCGGGAATGAGCGGTCATTCACCGGCGGTGGAGCTTGCCTACTGGGGCGAGGTTGAGGTGCTCGTGGGCAACCCCTGTAGTTAGCCGGGTGTCCTGTCTGGTTGCACAGGACACAAGCGGGCGGGGATTCGGCGTCTTTGGGCCGGGGACATTCTTTCGTTATGAGGTTCGAGGCACTTAACGCACCTGGGTGGGGCGGAGCAGTTGGCCGCCGCGTGACCATAAAGTTGGCAGCGGTGGCACTGCGCCGGGAAACCGCGCCTATGTGGAGGCTCTACCTTCACTCTCGACAGGCCACACACTGTGCGTACCTGCCGGAAGATGGCTTTTGCCTCCGGTACGTTGGTAAGGATGATGAGGGCAAGGTTGAACCTCTTGCCCGTCCTACTGTGCATTTTGTGCACTGCTTCTACGGGGAAACCTTGGGACTTAAGGTCCTCGAGAATTTCCTCGTTGGAGAACTCAAAGGGGACGCCTCGGATGACGGCCCTGACTTTGCGCTCTTCAGGGAGAGCGTAGGTGTGGTACGAGACTCGTTCGGCTGTGAATAGCCGGGTGATTTGACGGAAATCCTCGATCGAGCTTGGGATGATTTTGATCGCCTCCCCGAGGTTGACGGCATGATCGTACTTTATACCTGCGTTGTAGCAGGTTTTTGAGCATATAGATTTGTCTGCTCAATTATGAGGTTATAAACTTCGTTAGTAAAAAACTTATCAAAGTATACTAAAGGCCTGCTGTTGTAAGATATTGGACTACGAGGTGTCAAAGTTATTTTGTCAAATACTGAGTAGTGTGGCCTGTTTCCATTAGACCACATCGCTTTATTCCATGAACCTTCTGATTCAGATTCTTCAGAGCTTTCTTCTATTGTTTCATTTGAAGAAATTCCAAATCTACTACAGCTCGGTTGACCAACAGACATTTCTATTTGTGGATTTTCTGGTATGGATATTTGAAAATGCTCAATTGAAGTGTTTTGAATGTGTGACTCAATATTATCTTTATAAGATTGTGGAAACTCCTGTGTCACTGGTGACGGAATTGTTTCCGGAATGTTTATATTTGTATTACTACTTGAGCTAGATTGCTCACCTTCTGAATTCACCAAAAGATTCTTGAGTTTTTCCACATTATACTCTTCACCATGTTCGTCAGACTCATATTCATCTTCGGAATTCGCTGGATCATCAGGCAAGCTAACTAATAATTCCAGCTCTTTCGCAATCTCATCATCTAGCAACAGTCTCCGTGACATTTTCAGAATTCTGAAATAAATTCATATTTTGTACATAACATTGAGTAGGTATAGCGGACCGGGCAAGGGGAAATATATTCCCACCGATTCTTAGACACATTACTCTAATCACGAATATTGAAATTGAAAAATATGAATGATTTTGAGAAAACTATACACATTTCTAAGAAATAAAAGTAAAATTACACAATAACGCCATGTTTTCTGAAAGATTTATCGAGATTAGTTACAATAGCTCAAAAATTACCTTTTTCGCAATCTCTTGACGCCACCACCGAAAAACGAATAATAATTGTCAAATGTCACTTGTCAAAATTTGTTTCTTGTCATTCATGAATGTTGCCAGGCTAAAAAATAAAGACCTAACACAAATGCATTCAGAAATATCTCAAAAAAAAAACTGGTGGTAAAAATATTCCCTTTGCCCTACAAAGGGTTAAACTAATTAAAGGACTTCGTATGGGTTTTAATTTTAACGGAGCTTGCTCTATTTCGACTAAGTCACACACTTTAGTTATAAAAGCATCCATTGCTGGATCATTCTTCTGGATCGTTCTTTTCTGTTGCAATAGAATGCGCTTGAATTGGCTCTAAATCTGAAGTAACATCTATGAATCCAGTGTTTCAGGTGGAATCGTTTTATTCCGTGGTATTGGATTGTCTTTATCTATTTCGTTAGGTAAATCATTTTCAAAATTTTCGCGCCTGGATTCATCCTAAAAATAATAAAAGAATAAGTTCTTAAAGTTCTTGTAAATTTTGGAGATTATACACTATAAAATCAGAAACTAAAAAAAAATAGATTAATCGATAGAAGAATCGTTTTAAGATGATTAACACAATAAATCGAATATCCGAATATTCACAGTCGTATTTCAAATTGTAACCTCTGGTTCTCTACACTCACCGTACGAAACACTGCAGCATCAAGATGCTATTTTACACTAGTATTCTGTACGATCCGACCTATTCGTGCTATAACTATAATATAGCTACAGTATTGCCATCAAGGTTTTCATTCACCGCCATGCACCTCGTAACAGACATTCGCTAAATTTCGTAGTATCTTGCACACTCCAAACACTAAAATTATGTATCTTATAATAGTAGGAATCGAAAACGAAAGTTTAATAGTAGGAAATATTAAACTTTCCTTATCTTACCTGTTTTTCTACGAACCACGGCAATTTTCAAAGTAAAATACCGGGTGTCCAGTAAGGGTACCGGGTATTTGACAGTTAAATAAAATGAGAAATACAATTAATTAACTATAGCCTTTATTTTTAATACAAAAACAGTTTCTTGGAAATTTATTTGGTGAATATAACATTATCTAAATGTGTACCCCCACGCTGCTGGTACTCCTCTAACCTTGAACGCAGGTTGGCGACGACGCGTTTACAAAGCAAAGTTGGGATTGCCCTCATCTCTGACGTGATGTTCTCCTTCAATTGACTCAGATTCGTTGGGTGGTTATCGTATACCTTACCCTTAAGGTATTCCCATAGAAATAGTCGAGAGGACAAAGATCTGGACTTCTGGGGGGCCAGTTAATGGGACCCCTACGCGAGATAACTTTGTTTGGGAACAATTCCTTTACAGTTTCTATTGATGCCCCTGCGGTATGGCATGTGGCTCCATCTTGCTGAAACCATGTTCTTGAATTAAACCCTGGGAAATCTTGTAATGCGGACTCCAAAAAGTTCCCTAACATGTCACAATAACGGTCTGCATTCACCGTAACTGCTCGCCCACGTCTGTCTTCATGGAAAAAGGGGCCGATTATGCCTTTACCAGAAAATGCGGCCCAAACGGTGACCTTTGGACTATGAAGTGGTCGTTGATGTTTTGTTTTAGGGTTTTCCTTGGACCAGTAGCGACGATTCTGTTTGTTAACGTGACCGTTGATGTGGAAATTTGCCTCGTCGCTAAACAGAATATTGTCAAAGCTATTGAATCGCTTTAACATTTCAGTAGCAAAATTTAACCGACTTTCATAATCCGAATCCTTCAGTTCTTGGACTGACTGGATTTTGTAGGCTGTGAGATGCAAATGTTTGTTCAAAATTACCTGCAGTGAAGATTTTTTGATGTTTAGTTCTTGTCCTCGTTTGCGAATTGATAGCGACGGATTTTCACGTACTAAAACTGTCACCTCTTCGATTGTTTCTGCATCTAAAGCTTCGCGGGCGACCTGTATTTTGAATTTTAACAGTCGACCCGGTAATCTCGAACATTTTAATCCACTCTCGTATGACATCGTCGCTTGGCGCTGTACGTGTGCGATATAAACGCTAAGCAGTAACAATGGAATCGTTATTGCGTTAATACGCTCGCATGCACAAAAAGCGCGATGCGTTGCGGGATACGGCTCCATGGCAACAAAAATTCCCCTGCTACTACACTTGACGCCGTGAACCAATAAACAAACTCGCGCTACTCTTACTGGACACCCAGTATAATATTGCAATTAGCGTGACTCAGATGTTTCTTTCAAAAAATTTAATACACAGGAGCCAATTTCTATTGCTCCTCTGTTGCCAAGTCTCTCATATCAAATATAGCGGTTTGTATTGTTGTTTTTATATCTGAAAGGGGAATGCCCATCGTTCATAGACACTTCAGCTATGGGCGCACACATATAAAAGCATATGGAAATGATAATATGCAATTAAAATAATGAAATGGATAAGGAATTGGTTTAAAAAGGTCCAGATTTTTAGGATACAATGGTTTTTATTTTCACAAATACAGTTTTTAACAGTAATTTTACAAAAAATAGGTTTTTTGCGTTCTTATAAAAAAACATTCATTTATTCATCCAAAATTATGTTATCGCCTCCAAATAATCCCCCTCTGATACAATGCACTCGTGCCAGCGCCTGAGCTCCAGCGATCCTTAATTAATTTATTTATTTATTTAATTCAAAAACTCTTGTGGTTTATGGAAAATCCAACACGCACAAGGTTAAATTTTACATGCAAAAATATTTAAAAAAATTGCATCCAATTATAACAAAAAAATTATCACTTCTAAATTAATAATCATAAATTAAACAATTATACAATATATGGACATCAATAGTCGTCATGCGAAGCGTATGCGGTAAAACAACAATTTATACATAATTTATTTTAATTATAAAAAAAAAAAAAATAAAAATATGAAAAAAAAATGGGGGATATAAAATCTCTAAGCCTTTAGCAGCCCGTGTTGAGAAATTAAAATAGTAATAAACAATAAAATATTAATAATTATACAATGTTTAAAAAAGAAAAAGCTTGCAATCATACAATGTGAGACTATGAATTATTTTGTCATATCAATTATAACGCAATATCAATAAAAGCTAATTACTATAGTTGCCAATAATTAAAATTACATCTAAAATACAAAGTAATAAATAGTACATAGTCAAGCAAATTAAATTGTCGAATTATTAATTGTCTTATTATCGATAATTTTATAAAAAAAGTCAGCAGACGTGTCATACTGTCTGCAAATAAGTCAATTCCATCGTGTTGAGTGAGTATATCCCCTATTAGTATCGATGCTCGATTTGTTGGTGCATAGGCAGCACGTTTGGTACGTGTAACTGGTCTGTCTAGGAGACGCGCCCTACGGTGCGGAGCCACCGTTCCTCCGTTATCTCTCTGCAGATACCTAGGCACCAACAAACCGATTCTCGCCACAACCGACTGGCAGTCCAACTTGTGATGAGTTATAAAAAGATAATACCTAATAGTTGACATCACCGCATGATATCATCTCGGCATGATAAAAGGTGAAAATTAAACTCTAACCGAAATTCTATATTTTTGTACACTACACTAAATAACATAAAAACTATTGTCATTAAATCTTAATTAACTTCCATAGTATTTATTTTTACAACTTTTTACGTACCCTTGTAATATTTTGATGAAAATTTAAACCACAGAACACTATTACTCTTACCGGAGAGGTAAACTCTAAATAAAATACTTATTAACTGACGCGCATCGTTTAAACAGTTTAAATTAATACAAACCAATATTTCAGTCTAATAAAAATATCACTTCAAATGACTTACGGCAAATGATTTGTTATTTAATAATATAATTTTCAACCACAATGAGATATAAGTTTAATTTTATTGCAAATAATTGTTACAATCCTTTTTTAATGTGAAGTCTAAATTTTAATGTAATAAATCAAAAGAATACATGTATTGATTGACGTTTTTAAAGAATATTTCCTTTATTTCTTCAGTTTTAAAAATTTTAGTAGTACCATCTATTTCATTCTATAGATGAAGTCATTTTATCGAACTATAATTTATTGACTCTCCACGTGGTTTGCAAAGAATACGCTAGATGGACAAACACGGCTATGCCAGGCCAATTTTATTCAATAAGGTTAATTTTATTTATTTAATAAATTTGTTAATTTTTAACTGTTTATTTTAACAGTTAAAAGATATATTAACCATCTTTATCTCGTTACCTCGCACAACACGCGAGCAGCGAGGCGAGGTATGAGGCCAGGCGTGAGGCGAGAGTCTAAACCCGGAGTCAGGAGCTGATTAGCACTTGCGCACACACAGATTACCTGATCAAGGTAACCTCGCTTTCCAAATCCACGAAGGCTTCAAATGGAACTCCATCTATCATGGCCTCTTTAATAAATTTTGAATTTGGTTACAGTTGAAATGCGCATTATCTTTTGAATGGAATTTTTAGACGCGACATTACTATTAAAATTACTTCGGCAGTCTTCACTAATGTGCCCAATTTTATTGCATTTACTACATTATATCTAGTGTTTTGGGCATCTTAAGAAACTTTTTCCCTACAATTGAAACAAAACGTACCTTGGACTAGGCCCTTCTGTTTGTTTTTAAATTGCACAGGATAACGAGAATTTATGGTATCCCTATAGTCCTCAAAAATTTAAGCAACTGATTTTGTTCGGAACAGTGCACTGTCAGCACACTAGATTTTATCTTGCCACTAATACC